ATTCCTGATGAGCAGAGGAGACTCTGTTCTCTTTATTTGATGGAAGCAGTATGCTTGTAGTATTAGAATGTGATTGTAAAATCTTACTCAATCCATATTATATTCTTCTGTTAATTCCTCCATTAGAAAGAGATAATGATAATGGAACAAAATCTGGCATATTAGATACCAGGTTTCAAAAACATTAATTCCACAATTTTTCTGTTAAACTTAGAATTAAGGAAGGGTAAGTGAAAATAATTAGTAAAATAAGTTGGAAAAATCAGGCAGAGTTCAAAACTACTTTTAAAGACAAAAAAATACTAATTTTAAAGGCATTTTCTAAACCATCTGTTCTTTATTCGTTAATGCCCAGAACTCATTTACATATATTGCTGCTGACTAAATGGAAGTACGTGGTAGCGAAGAGTTGAAAAGAAGCAGTGCCAAGCAAGGGGAATTCTACTGCCCTTTTATTGGCCAGCTAGTTTCTCCACATGGAGTTCTACTCCATGTTAAAAGAGAAGCAGGCAAAGTTAAAATTGAATCCTGTTCAAAGAAAGCTATTTTTAGACACAAAATGCATACACACGCATGCACAGCCTTTCTAGTTAAATATACTTTATTTATGCAGTTTTGGGTGTCCTACTAAGATCAAGTAATTGCCAGTCAAGAAAAAAACAAAACAAGGTGTTACTCAGCTGTCAGTTTTTCTTCAGCTGAGCCATGCTACACAAATCTCAGCTTCTCCTCAAATGAAGTTTGTTTGGCTGTAAGCTCTCCAGAAATGTTTTTTAATAATTTCATTTTCCATGTACCACTCCTCCTTCTATTTGAGATCTAGAAAAGCTTGCAAACACTTTAAAGACACTGAAAATATTTAAAGAAAAGGAAATTGTTCAAAGTCTTTTGAGTTACCATGACAAACAGCATGAAGTTTAGCAAAAAATAAAATTAAGGTTTATATTCCTTAAGACTACATCTTGTTTTTGTAAAATACCACCAAAGCAGCTCTCTGAGTCATCTGAAATAACAATATGAGCAGGTGAACCAAAATGCAATACATCATTGTGGTGTCCATCTGTAATTTCTGTAGGCTA